CTGATAAACACCAGATTCCATACCAATATTACCCATTGCCAAAAAGAATGTGATAATCCCCTATGCAGTCTATCACCTTTATAATCTTTATGGCATCCATTGGTGTAGTCTACAATGTATAACCAGCTGACCCTTCTGATTATGAATCGTGGCTGTAACCTGATTGTATCTCCCTTTAACACTTTCCAGGCTAGGTTTAAGGAATTTGGGGATGTGGGCTTGAGCAGTACACTTACGGCATATAAGGTTTTCACAAAAGTCGGTCGGGGTCCCTGGCTAAAGAGGAAAGTCTGCCTCAGACCCTCCGGTGTAATAAACTGCACTCCACTATCGACGCTGCCCTTCCCAGTGAGTTTGTTTCCCGGAGCGTTTGGCTGGAACAATCACAGTGGCTTCTCTCATTGCAGAGCACAGGCTGTAGGGCACGTGGGTGCAGTCGTTGTGGCTTGGGGTCTGTAGAGCTCAGACTCAGTAGTTGTGGCGCAGGGCCTGTGGGATTTTCTCGGACCAGGGATCAAACCCGTGTCCCCTGCACTGGCAGGTGGACCCTTAACCACTGGACCACCAGGGAAGTCCTTCACTATTTTCTTTGGATGGGAGTTAAAAATCTTGTCTTAGTCTCCTCTTTCAGTTCAGTTCAGTTCAGTCACTCAGTCGTGTCCAACTCTTTATGACCCCATGGACTGCAGCACGCCAGGCCTCCCTGTCCATCACCAACTCCCGGAGTTTACTCAGACTCATGTCCATTGAGTTGGTGATGCCATCCAAATATCTCATCCTCTGTCATCCCCTTCTCTTCCTGCCTTCAATCTTTCCCAGCATCAGGGTCTTTTCAAATGAGTCAGTTCTTCTTGTCAGGTGGCCCAAGTATTGGAGTTTTAGCATCAGCATCAGTCCTTCCAGTGAATATCCAGGGTTGATTTCCTTTAGGATGGACTGGTTGGATCTCCTTGCAGTTCAAGAGACTCTCAAGAGTCTTCACCAACACCACACCTCTTTAGCAAGAGGAACTGGGTCCGGCAGATGTGGCTGAAACCTTTCTTATCTGCTAAGGGCTAGTGAGGGGACGGGTCACAGGTTGTGATGCTAGTGAGCCCATTTCCTTGACCAACAGACTTCTGTATTAATATAAGATCTCCTGCTTGGATCTTAGACTCCGGATGACCGTGGCAATGTCTAGAGTCACCATATAGTCGTTTTATTCTCAGGAAGCAGCTTGGGGTGTCCTCTGGGATCCACCCCCAAGGCTGGCGGCAAAGTCCGCTGAGATTGCTGGATCTCATGAGCCTGTAACAGACCTCAGGCTCATCAATTCATCAAGCCCTTACTGTGTGCAGACCCTGAGGACAGAGCTTTGAATAAAAGAAATCCTCTCTGTCGTCATGGGGCTTTCGTTCCAGAGGGGAGGGGAAGGTAAGCAGAAAATGATGCGTGTCTAGCATCGGCAGGGGTGGAGGCTGAGAGGGGCACAAGGGCTGCCCTTGCAGTAAGTGTGCTGAAGACAAATGCCTGGACAGATGTGTTGCAGGAAGGAGGACCCCTTCCAGGGCCCGAAACTGGGCTCTTGTCTGACAAGAATTGTTGGAAATGAACTGTCCAAGGAGACACATGTGCTGACAAAGCAAGAGATTTTATTGGGAGGGGCACCTGGGTGGAGAGCAGGGGGGTAAGGGAACCCAGGAGAACTGCTCTGCCACGTGGCTCACAGTCTCGGGTTTTATGGTGATGGGTTTAGTTTCAGGGTTGTCTTTAGTCAATCATTCTGACTCAGGGTCCTTCCTGGTGGTGCACGCCTTGTTCAGCCAAGATAGATGCCAGAGAGAAGGATTCTGAGAGGTGGTTGGACATGTAGTGTCTCCTTTTGACCTTTCCCGAACTCTTCCGGTTGGTGGTGGCTCATTAGTTCCATGTTCCTTACCAGGACCTCCTATCGTAAGACAACTCGTGCAAATGGTTACTATGGTGGCTGGCCAGGGCGGCAGTTTCAGTCAGTGTGCTTCCCCTAACAGACGCACAGGACGGACAGCCAGGCGGCTTCTGGGAAGAAGCCCAGCCTGCAGGTGTGTGGTGGAACTACAGAGAGCTGAAGGCACTGGAGTGGAGAGGCGAGGGCCAGGAGCGGGGAGGTGAGTGGCAGGTCTGGCCGTACCTTGAAGGCCCTGTAAGGAGTTTGATGTCCCTTCTGAATGTCATTCGTCTGAAGTGTATACTGAGCTGATTTGGTCTGGGCCAGGCTGAGACCAGCCGCTTTAGGGACATGGACAGGAGAGTCAAGTGTTTTGCCCATACAGACAAGGAGCAGAGAGCTGGGTCTGCCCCATGGCCTGGGGAGTTTTCTGTCATTCATTCCTGCACCTGGTTTCCCTGGGACTGCTCCCCATCAGGCCCTCGCTGGCCTGGGGACTCAGGAGCTCTGCCCTGCCCCCCTCTGCCCATTTTGGAAGCTTTCACAGGAGATGAGAGTCCGTCATACCACCAGGTCCTGGTTCCATAGTTTAATGAGTTTTAGGATTTGTAGAGAATGACATGCATGTTGAGAAATCACACTCAACAGGTTTGAATTCCATATGCTGAAAAACACACTGAAGCGGTGTAGAGATTTTCACTTAAATCTTTTGTGTCTGCTGAACGACATCGAATTTATGGCAGAAAACTGAATAAGAATAATATGGTTATTATGCACATGGTTACATCTTGGGGGCATTGTGGGTAATCCATCCTTTTTTTTTAGGTTATGGAAAAGATAAATTTATTTGGATGGATTGCTTGAAGGCATGAAAATTACAAAATGCTCCCAAGAAATGATTCAGAAATTATTCAGAGTTCTGTAAGTATTTTCTTTCTTAATATAAAGCAGATTTTTACTTCAGTTTAAATTTCTTAAAATTCACTACGTATTCTTGTTTTGTTTAATCTTTTAAGAATCCTTAACTTCCTATGACTTTTATCACTAAATTTGTCAGTTTTCTATGGACAAACCTACCCCCCACAACACACACCTTTTAAACATACAATTAAGTACTTTAATTAAATGGAGAGAGTAGAAAACTTTGCATTGAAAGCCAGCTAACATTGCCTGCAAGGCAGCAGAAACGGATTTGACACCTGGGTCAGGAAGATCCTGAGAAGAAGGGAATGGCTACCCACTCCAGTATTCTTGCCTGGAGAATCCCATGGGCAGAGGAGCCTGGTGGGCTTCAGTCCATGGGGTCTCAAAGAGTTGGACACTCCTGAGCAACTAACACTTCCACTAACATTTTAAATGCCTTTTAGAATATATTTCTTTTTGCTTTTAATGAGTTAGTCAATTAAACTTAGTCTGGTACTTTGAGACCTGCTGATAAACCAGGACTTTGACTGGTACCTGATCCAGGTGTATTTACGTGCAAGGAAAAAGAGGGTGACATTTCATACAGATTCAAAGGGCTTGTGAGAACTGGGTAGCACATACTCACACGCTCTATATCCCAGCAGCCTAAAGGGTGCTCAGGAGAGGGGGTCACAGCCCCACCTCCTCTGGGCCCTGGGGGAGCCACACACTGGGGAGGGGCCAGAAGTCTGGGGCCAGAAGGGGCCTGGCCACCTGCTGGCTATGTCCCCTGAGGATGGCCCACCCGCTTCCCCAGGCTTCTGTGTCCTGCCTTGTAAACCAGTGTTCACAGCTGCTCAGAGTGTTTCATTGTTGTTTTTGTTCACTTGCTAAGTCCAGTCCGACTGTTTGTGACCCCATGGACTGCAGCACGCCAGGCTCCCCTGTCCTTCACTACCTCTCAGAGTTTGCTCAGAACTCATGTTCATTGAGTTGGTTATGCTATTCAATCATCTCATCCTCTGTCGCCCCCTTCTCCCCTTACTCTGTTTTTTTTTGAACTTTAAAGATCAGATTTATTTGGAGAAAACAATAAACCCCAAAACCCAAAGGATGGGATTTTACATCTCAAGACCTCCTCCTTCTCTCAATCTCTCCCAGCATCAGGGTCTTTTCCAGTGAGTCAGTTCTCTCCATCAGGTGGCCAAATTATCGGAGATTCAGCTTCAGTGTCAGTCCTTCCAATGAATATTCAGGGTTGATTTCCTTTAGGATTGACTGGTTTCATAGACTTATATCAAGGAAAGAGAGTTATATGAAACTGCTTTTAAAAATGTACTAAAGGAAACTAAAGATCAAGACCCAGTATAGACAGTAAAGAAGTAGGAAGAAAACCTTCTTCTAGTCCCCAGAGAGTGTGTATACTTTATAAATTTCTAGCCTGACTAACTTATAGCCATAGGAAAAGTGGAACTTTATCATTGTCATGATAATCCTTGGTATTTTTAATACTAAAAAATATGTGCAGGTACTAAAAAAAGCATTCATTGTTTTCAACTATAATTTATTTATGGATAAGTGCATGTGTTCCTTAAACATTGAGAAAGCCATTAATTTCAACTCTGATCAAAGTAAGTGATAATTTTAGTGCTAAAGAACATATCTCTACAGCATTTGCAAATCATGGTATTTGGAAATATACCACCCATCAAAAGCCTAGAGGGAGTGGAGAAATTATTTGATATTACCATATTCAGTTAACAGTGTATTTTATTTTATTTTATTTTTTATTTTTTTTTACAATAAAAACTGCTGGGTGCAGGAGCTCAGTGTCTTGGGACTGGCTACACCAACACACGCATTTATTACGTTTAGAAACACTGTGATCAGATCACACAACAATAAATATGTACCACCAGACAGAAAAAAATACAACACAGAAAAGGAACTGCGCCCCACTCTCCCTCAATGCTCTTTATGACTATTTCTAAGGTCTTCGTAAAAGACGCACAGGGTGGCAGGATCGTCCGACCCCCAGCCTGCCTTTGTCGCTGTCCCTGGCCCCCGTTCCTCCAGCTCCGCATACTGAACTCAACAGTTGCAGAAGCGAGGTGCAGCACCCCACCCTCTCCCTGATCACCAGGGTGCCTGGTGGACTCAATGCTCAGATGACACCCTCACACTCCAGGTCTCACTCATCCAACTCTTCCTCAGACAGAAGGTCCCCATGGTCAGACAGCTGGTCTGTATTGCTGGTACTGGTCGCGTCGTCCTCGTCCTCAGAGCTGGCCTCCCAGGCTGTGTGGAAGAGCTGCATGAGTTCTCGAAAACGATGGGAAACCTCAGTAGGGGTCTTATTTCCCAGCTGCTGGGAGATGACACTGAAAGTCTGCGCTGTGCTCCTTGCTCCTGGCACATGGTCAGGATCACCCGGTCAGCTTCCCTTGTCCACAGGACCACCTTTTCCCCGGTGGAGCTGGCCTTGCTGTTGTTGGCACATACTGTAGCTTCTGTGGCCTTCGTCTGCAGCTCCCCTCCTGGACCCTTGCCCTGTAGTCCACTGTCTTTAGCCAAACCTCCTCTAGGGGCTTTAGGAGAAGTCTCTGAGGTGTCAACTCCTGCTGAAGAAGCTCAGATTAATACCAGTTACTCTAAGAACTGAAGAGAGAAAATGATAAGGGAAATAAAACCTACCTGCACGACAAAGAGAAAAGCACAAAATAAAAGCTTGTGTCCTGGGAATTTTTTAAATGAATGTATACCTGGTAACAGCCCATTGGCATATTTTTACTAGCTGGTTTCATTCTGGAGGGCAAGTGTTGATGCTCGGTAGGCTTTTCCGATGGTAAACGTCACAGTTTGGACAGTAGCGCAGTCCTGTTTGGTGTCCTGTTTCTCTTTCTGCCTCTCCCTCATTGTGCTGTTAAAACAGGCTAACGCCTAAGGAATTTCAGATCAGCATGAAGCTGGAGGCCATCGACAGGAAGAACCCTGCCTTGATATGTGTGTGGCGACCATAGCAGATATTGTTGGCAATTGCTTGCAAGTGCATTTTGACAATTGGGATGATAGTTATGATTTCTAGTGAGATACCGACATGCACTGTATTTCCGTGTGTTCGTTTTTGCCATTAAGAGTTTATGTTCACTCCACCACTGAACAGTTTCAGTCAAGTCGCTGTTCTTGCCATTCTTACAGTAATGAACATCAGGAATTTAGAGGCTGACTTGTCACTACCTTCTCTTGCTTGTGAACTGTTGAATTAAAGAGCCCAAGAAACTGTTTCTCCGTCTCTGAGAGGTTGCCTAATGAGGTCTCATCTAAAATAATGTGACCAGTTCAGAGCACTGCACCATATCATGTCTAGTTTGTAAGGGAAGCATTTCTGTGAAGAGAAACTTAAGAACTTGCAGTATTTTTTTTTTTCCCTGAAAAATGTTGAACTCAGACTGTCATATTTTTAAAAGGAAAGATTCAGGGAGACTAGAGAGAATAATTTGAAAGCCTATGGGGAGCAGAGAAAATGTATGCTTGCCATGCCATTAAATTAACGTTGCATGAGTTAAAAGGATTTTCTGGGTGAAAATCTGAAATATGGAAGAGGGCATGGCAAAAATAATTTTTGTGGCCATTCTTCAGAGTATATCCTGAATAATCAACAGATCCCCGCCTGAGGCTGTGGTTCTTCACCTGCATGTCTTTGGGAGGGGGTCAGTTTTCATCTTTCAACTAAGCAGAGTGTAGGTTCATTCCTGTAGGTGTCTTAGGTAGAATAGTCTGGACCCCTGGAAAAGAAAGAGGGAGGAAATTGTAGGCATATGAAGTCCAGTCTGTCCTATTAAAATTTGGACTGACCTATTAATATTTTCTTGCTGCTGGCAAGAAGTGGTAGAAAAGGTTTATTAAAATGTTCACTCTTTGGGGAGATCACTGGCAGTTCAGGTCCTAGTCAAACACTTTTTAAAGAAATATTTTTAAATTTCAAGGTTATGTAAAAGAAGTTTGGCCACTCAGCTGACAAAATAGAATCCTAAAATTACTTCTGACTTGCTTAGGCTATAAAATATTTTAGCTGTGCAGTAATATTTTCCGTGTGTCTTTTAACATCCAGAATGATCATTACTCTTGGATTATTTCTCTAGTGTTAATACAGGATCTAAAATAGAACCCTGTTTTTGCAGGTGTGATGTCAGTCGTCCTTTAGGTCCAGCCAGTTGGTTGGTGTTGGGAGCATGGAAGAACTCTGATAGAACCCCAAGGTGAGTGGGCTGATTGAGATCTCTTTGAAGTCATCTCTGCCTGAGTGGCAATGTCCATTTTATTTTTGTTTATGCAAACCACATTTCGATACAAAGGGTGTCATAAGGATACTGTGAAAGATTCTGTTAACCCTTGAGGGACCCAGAGGTTGGGAATCTGCAGATCCTTCCTCATAATACAAATGGACTGTGTTTATAAAGTCATATTAGGCAGCTGTTTAAAAATTGGTACTGTTTTTTATCCAATGAAATGAGAACCATTGCCATGAACTAACATTTAAAACTATTTATTTCCACCTATGTAATTTAACTTATAACTAATGTTAATTCATTAACTGACTTTGACCACCTGATGCAAACAGCAGACTTCATTGGAAAAGACCCTGAAGCTGGGAAAGACTGAGGGCAGGAGGAAAAGAGGATGGTAGAGAATGAGATGGTTGGATGGCATCACCTAGTCAACGCACATGAGTTTGAGCAAATCTGGGAGGTAGTGAAGGACAGGGAAGCCTGGCATGCTACAGTCCATGGGGTGGCCAAAAGTCGGATACGGTTTAATGACTAAGCAACTTCAACAACACGGTTATTAAATATATACTTCACTTTGGAGTTAAATGTAAGAAATGCAGAAACCTAAAAAGTGAAAATTGATGATGAGACCTCAGACTTGCCAGATTCTTTCACCCAGCCAACTTAGTGGCTGAACACTGACAGAGGAACTCATTTCTTGTTATGTATCTGTTTTCTTATTACAGAAGCAGAATCTCTCCACTTATTTAGTTCTCTGATTTATTTCAGTGGCATTTTATAGCTTTTCTTATGTAGATCTTTTATATATATATATATATATATATATATATATTTGGCTAAAATTTATAGCTATTTTATTATTTTGGATGCTAATGTATATGGTACTGTGTTTTTAATTTCAAATTTCACTTGTTCTTTGCCAATGTATAGGAAAGCAATTGAATTTCTATATATTAACCTTGTATCCTGCAACCTTGTTATAATCAATTATTGATTCTAGTTTTTTTGATTAGTCGCTCAGTTGTGCAACCCTTTGCAACCCCATGGACTGTAGCCTGCCAGGTTCCTCTGTCCATGGGATTCTCCAGGCAAGAATACTGGAGTGCTTTGCCATTCCCTACTCCAGGGGATCTTCCCAACCCAGGGATTGAACCCAGGTCTCCTGCATTGCAGGCAGATTCTTTACCGTCTGAGCCACTAGGAAAGCCCATAGAAGGGAGAGAGCCTAGTAAGAATAAAAGAAAGGGATCTATATGTATTTGTGTAAAAACATTATCAAGATCTAATTCACATTCTGTACAATTCATCCATTTATAAAATCCAGGATTTTAAATATATTTAAACAATTGTATAGCCATCACCACAGTCAATTTTAGAATGTTTCCATCACCTGGGCCACTTAGCTCTTATCCCCAACCCTCTGATTCTGCAGCATTCGGAGAACGTCAGCCTACTTCCTGTCTCACCCATTCTGAATATTTCATGTAAATAGAATCACACGAGCTGTGGCCTCTGGTGTCTGACTCCTTTCACTTAGCTTAAAGATCTTAGAGTTCATCCACATTGCTGCATGTGTCAGAGTGTGTTGTTTCTTTTTAGTTTCTAATAATATTTGTGTAGATAAACCACAGTTTGCATATTCAGTTTATCAGTTGATGGGCATTTGAGCTGGTTTCGCTTTTTGACTCCTTCAAATAATGCTGCTGTGAATATTTGTGTATGCATTTTTGCTTGAACATGTTTTCTGTTCTCTTGGGTTTATACATAGCAGTGAAATTGGGGTCATACAGTAATTCTACGTTTGCCTTACTGAATAGTGAGTGAGTAATTACTTAATGACTTTTTAACCACAGGAGGCTGCAATTTTTAAAATTCCCACAAGTAGTGGGAAATCCCATGGAGCCCTGGCGGGCTACAGGCCATGGGGTTGCAAAGAGTCAGACATGACTAAACAACAAGAACAAGAAGTAGTGTGTGAGGGCTGCAGCTTCTCCACATCCTTGAGGACACTTGCTGTGTGTTCTTGTGTACTACTCTGTAACAAATTACCATGAAGTCAGTGAGCTGAAGCAGTACAGATTTCCTGTCTTGTTATTCTGGAAGTCAGGAGTTTAAGATGGGTTTCACTTCGGTTTTGGAATATTAATGAGGAATTAGTGGGATGGGCAAATTGAGGTCATTTTATGAAAAGACCTTTAAAAGCCAAAGTGAGGAGTTTATAGTCAAACCCTGATGTAACCACAGTCAAGCATTTGTTTTGCAATAGTAGGCCAAACTGGGGCTTCCCACGTGGCTCAGCTGGTAAAAAATCCACCTGCAATGCAGGAGACACTGGAGATGCGGATTCAATCCCTGGGTTGGGAAGATCCCCTGGAAGAGAAAATGACAACCCACTCCAATATTCTTGGCTGGAGAATTCCATGGACAGAGAAGCCTGGCGGGCTACAGTCTGTAGGTTGCAAAGAGTTGGACACGACTTAGCAACTAAACAACAACAACAATATGTGATTTAAACATTAGAGTAGTCATCTTATTGTTCATACTGTTTTTGTAGCCTTTTCCCGCACTTACTTGAAGATATAATTTGAACATATTCCTTTTCTTTAAATAGTCCTTGATAACCTGGCTATTATTGACTGTATCCTTGTCTATATGAGAGTATACTGCACTTTATTTTTGTATTGTACATTAATTTTGTCTAGTTCTTAAATAACAATAGAAGACATGCTTTTATAGAAATAGTTATATAAGTTTATTACTTAAAATTTTTTTTAATTTTAAATATTTTTAAAAATTTAAATAAAACTTTTTTTTAAGTTTGTTATTATTTTGTAGTTGTTGTAAGTGGAATTATTAGATCGCAGAATATGGAGATAATTTTTAAGCTTTTAGTAAATATTTCTAGATTGCCCTTCATATAGTTTCTTTTCTTCCAACGATGTAAGAAAATTCAGACATTAAAAAGAAAGAAAATGGAACAAGACCAGGTATCTCAAAATATAGACACAGATTTTGTGTGAAGATTTTAAATTTGTTTGCTTGTTTTTTTCTGTTGAGTTGTATCAGTTCTTTGTCTGTAACCTCATATCACATAACATAATTTGCAAACATTTTCTCCTACTCAGTAGG